CTCCAGCCTGGGCAACAGAGTGAGACTCCAACTCAAAAAAAAAAAAAATCTCACTGGCTCTGAGTCCCTGGACTGTGACTTTCAGAAGCAGTTCTTAGCCCTGCCCCACCCCACCCCAACCTTTTTTTTTTTTTTTTACCTGAAATGGGAATGTAGAGGAGACTGGAGTCAGCTAAACTGCCTTTCCTCTAAATGAGAAAAGACTCTGGTGAAATAGTTTCACCAGAAGGCAGGTCTTTGTTATGGAAAACTCTGAGTGTTTTTCAAAATGGTTACTTTCCCCTGGATGTATTTTAATATGTTTCCTTTTCCCCTTCCCTTGCCTGAAACCATGGTGAGGAGGCTTGAAATAAAACTCATGAAAGCTTGGGACCCCTCCAGGACTGGGCTTCCAGGACAGCTTAAACCAGTTCTGTCTGGATATTTCCCAGTTGTCTTTCTCTTATGATTTCTGATTTTCACAGTGGTCATAGAACATATGTTGTATGGTTTTAATTTTTTTTTTTTTGAGTTGGAGTCTTACTCCGTCGCCCATGCTGGAGTGCAGTGGCACGCTCTCATGTGCACCCCAGTGTCGACCTGCTGAGCTCTGGTGATCCTTCCACCTCAGCCTTCCAAGTAACTGGAACTACAGGCATGCACTATCATACTGGGCTTATTTTTGATTGACTGGAGAGACAAGACCTTGCCAAGTTGCCAGGGCCAGTCTTAAACCCACGGGCTCAGGCAGTCTACTCTCTTTGGCCTCCCAAAGTGCTGGGATTACAGGCTGAGCTACCGAGCCAATTTTAATTCTTTAAAATGTTCCAAGGTTTGTTTTATGATCCTGGATGTGGCCTATTTGGGTGAAATCCAAAATCCAGGAAGAACGTGTTGGATGAAATACTCTACAGATATCAAGATTGTTGGTTGATGATGTTTTTCAGTTCTGTATACTTGCTGGTTTTCGATTTGGTCTATTGATTACTGAGAGAAGAGGTAACTCCCCACCTATGATTGTGGATTTATCCATTTCTCATTTCAGTTTTATCTTCAGATATCTTGAAACTTTGTTGTTGGGTACATACACATTTAGGATGGCCGTGCTGTCTTGGTGATCCTTTTATCATTTGCACGAACAGTGAAGGATGTGAGATTTTACCCTACTTGCAAGTTAACAAGTTAGCCTGCCACAGCTTTATAGATGCTGCCAAATGACAGACTCTTGGGATGACAGGACTTTATCACCCACAAGACCAGTAGCCACAGTAGCTGCATCTGCACCAGTTTCTTAAGCTCCATTTTCTTTTTCTTTTTTGAGTCAGAGTCTCATTCTGTCTCCCAGGCTGGAGTGCAATGGCACAATCATGCTACCACAGCCTTGACCTGCTGGACTCAGGCGATCCTTCTGCTTCAGCATTCCATTTAGCTGAGAATACAGGTATGTGCCACCATGCCTGGCTAATTTTTAAAAATTATTGTAGAGATGAGATCTTACCATGTTGCCCAGGTTGATCTTGAACTCCTGGGATCAGGCAATCCCCTCCCTTCGGTCTGCCAAAGTGCTGGGATTACAGGCATGAGCCACTGTGCCCAGCCAAGCTCCATTTTCAACAGGATGATGGAAAGGGGACCAGATGGCACCTGCACCTGCAAAAGACTACGTTGTGGTAGAGCACCCCTGAGGTTAGGGGGCCCAACTCTTCAGTAATGGGAAGGGTAGCAAGCCTCCTTGACTTTTGCCCCAAAGGGAGACATTATCTTTATCATACTGGGTTGAAAACAAACCTGCTCATTGCTCTGAAGAGAAGCACTATCTCTATTTCTGGTGTTAACTATACAAACATCCTTGAAAAGATACCCCAGATGCAAGGCAGTTGTTGCCTTTGCTCACAAGATATTCAGAAATGTGAGAGCTTTTGGAGAAGTATTTCTCAACAATAATGTACCTCTTTAACTCTGGTCATCCCCCCCATGGAAGTTGACTTTGTTGGCTATTAACATAGCCATTCCAGTCAAATCCCTCCCCTGCAGAAAACATGGCCATGTTCTCTATTTATATATTTCTTTTTTTATTATTTTATTTTACTTTTATTTTTTTGAGTTGAGGTCTTACTCTGTTGCCTAGGCTGAAGTATAGTGGTACGATCATGGCTTACTGCAGCCTCAACTTCCTGGACTCAGGTAATCCTTCCACCTCAGCCTCCTGAGTAGCTGGGACTAGAGGAGCACACCACCATCACTGGTTAATTTTTTGATTTTTTTTTAAAGAGGTGAGTTCTCCCTTTGTTACCTAGGCTGGTCTCAAATCCTGGGCTCAAGCAGTCCTTCTGCCTCAACCTCCCAAAGTGCTGGGATTACAGGTATGAGCCACTGCACCTGGCTGTTTATGTATTTTCTATGGCTACTTTTCTGCTACAAAAGCAGAGTTGATCTAAATGGATCAAATACCTAAATGTAAAACCTCAAACTATAAGAACCTTAGAAAATGCAGGAGAAGCCGGGCTCGGTGGCTCAGCCTGTAATCCCAGCACTTTGGGAGGCTGAGGTGAGAG